TTGCAGATATTAATCGCATGAAATCCCAGTTTAAGAGAGGGGGCGGAGGAATGTGTATATCTTCAGACAAAGTGTGGCACATATTCATGAAATCTATTGAACAGATCGAAGGCTGTCAGAAGAGTACGACCACTTCGAAGAGTGGTCACTCCCATCACTCCCATAAGCACAGTGGTTAGACTCGAGTCTCTTTTTTACTTGAGTTTTATTTCTAATTGAAATCAATTTTAATCCCAACTTATAGTCAATTACCTAAACTTGTGGCCAATAATCCTCATGTTTTATAAATTGTATTAATTTGTAACTTTTTTTCAATCATCCTTTCATTACTTCATTCATATTTTGTTTTATATTTTTGATAAATAAAATATTCCAATATTTGGAATCAAATTAGAATTGACAAAATAATTGACAAAATAATTGACAAAATAATGTATAATTAAGAATAAACCTTTCAAACCTATGATATTAAGAAACATGTCAAATGTTTATTTATTAAATATTAATTTTAGTTAGGTTCTAACTGTTAGAATTAAGTAAATTTTAAATAAGCGCTAATTTATAGTAAGAATTTTTTATAAATAATAAAACATTAAACGATTATAACTTTGGAGGCATCCTCTGGACAGACGGGGAAAGCGCACAAACAGGCTGTCGGTGTCCCGAACACCACTTTGCGTCCCATTCCCGTCTACTCTGCACCACATTTATGGCTCTTTCGAGTGTTTCCCTCTCTTTGGCGACAATAGAGTCCACGACTGAACACACGGCAGACGAACCGTGAAGTTAGCGCTCATATAGCCGTCCGTGAAGTTGGCTATCATTTGGAGACCTGTTGTCTGGCCTCTAGTTTCCGATTCAACGCTTTATTCCGTCTTTCCTTTTGTCATTCATTTGAATGGCATTCTTGACCACAATTCTGGTCTCGAGAATCTATACACAAATAAATGTCAATTAAATTAAAACATAAATAAAAATTCAATAAAATTAACGAAAAAGACTTACTGTTGAGAAA